AAAATTCGGAGAATAACAATTCGGTGTGTTTAGCGCGTAGAATTCTGTTAAACTGCAAATTAATTCCTGAAGGTTACACGTATGTAGTGTTTCGCGAGAATTATTAACGCGTTTACGAAAACGTGAGTCTGACTAAGATAAAAATTTTAGATGCATCTCGAAAATTGTAATTTATATAACAATGTTGGATGAACAATTAATAATATAAGTCGAGAATATGTTCAACAGTGAAGAGGAATATTGGCAATACTTACAAGTGAGGTGGGATCTTTGGCGCCTATATATAATATTCCTTATACTTTTAAATTTATATAGTATATTTTATAATATTTTATAATAAAAATATTTTATAATATATAAATTCAAGAAAATTGCTTGTATGTAAAAACAAATTTGCCAACTATATATTGTTATTCAACTATATAAGCTTGAAATGTAGCGGCTTAAAGCTTCAAAGCTTTTCTCCTAATAAATCATTTATAATATTGATTAATTCCTTTCCCGCCACAAAAAATTGTTATTGCGAAAGATATCAATTATACGATATAGCATAATAAAGAATGAGAAAGATTATCGAAATTTCATTAATTGCATAAAATAACTGAAGCAGTCGATAAAACTGGGTATTATTCATAAGGAAATTTATAAAGGCAACTTTATATGTCACTTAGGCAAATAACGCTTTTTTTAACAATTAGCCTATCAATCTTCGTTAATCTGCTTTTCATTCTTTAGTGAAATGTTTGCTGAGATTATTCATAATATCGCACGCAGCTATCCGTCCGTGCTCTTTTCTATCTTCTCCCTCTTATGCTTTGTCTGACCGACACGCGGCGTATCTACTGCCAGCTGCGGCTGACTATACACGAGGTCGCGCTACTCGATGAGTTACTCCACGCTAGGAGAAATAAAACATGAAAGGTCAAGCCCATGGGAATTTAACTATACCATTTGAATAAACAAAGAAAAATTATCTTAAAAAGATGTAAAGTAAATATACGAATACAATCTAACCTGCGCGAAATCAAATCTTCGTTCGCGAGATACTTTGTTATCTTGTAAGAATATATCTTGAAGTACATTCGCTGAAATGTTTAATTATGTCTGGAAATCTCGCGCCTCCAATTTTATTTGCTGTTTTCTCGTTGTCCTTGGTAAAAAGCAAACTTGCTGGCGAAAAGAAAATATCGATTGGGCGGATCTCCTTGATCGTCCCACTATCGGAAAGGTGAACGGAAGCGAAAAGAGGGTGGCGAAGTGAGGAAAATCTGGGGTGACGATATTGGCAATTTCGCTGTCGCATTTTCATTTCGCCTCGCGCTAACATCGTGAACTACGAATTTTCGCGGCTCCCCTTCGCGGCTGAGCGGAAGGGCGTTTGGCAAAAGGGGACGAAAAGGAAAGATGGAGACGGGGGGATAGTGAAAACAGATTTCCCCGAGTGTCGCTCGTACTTCCTGCGTGAATTTCCATAGACGTAATCGCGTGAAGATCGAGACCGATGCGTTTCCGCGGCGATCCCCTCCCGCCATTTCTCGCGAATATAGAAATTTCCATGCGAATGAAGGAAAAGTCGACGTTGCATAAAATCAACACGCAGCAATTCTTGCAAATAAATTTTTAACTCATATCTGAAGCACAAAATAGCTCATAACTCACTACACAACATAACTGTAATAGTGAAGAATTTTAAATGTATCATCGCATTACTATTTTCATATTTCTTTTTTCATTCCTATCAACTTCCCCTTAATGCAATTTTTAATCAAAATTTAATTTCAAATTGAAAATATTCGATTCGAAAAAAATTTCAATTTTATGAAATTTAATTTTATTATTATCAATTTCGTACTAAATTATATCGGAATAGATTTAGAGCTTATCCAAACGGAGATATCTTTTCCGTCGAATAATTCGCAAGTATGGATACGTTCGTTGTATGAAATGTACATTGTATAGCCCTAGAAAATGTCGGGTAAGAAAATGTTTAACGAGATGTTTGTTCGACTCGCTATTTGCGGAGCACTCCTTACCGCCGTACTCGGCGAGAAGCGAAGACTTCCGCAGCGGAATTAAAGTTGCAGCAAGTACGGCTCTCGACAGCCGGAGCGCGAAAAGCGCGGATGATAAGTGTGAAGCCGGATATATCTGCATACACGGAATTGGAACGCGTGTTATAACGCTTTCTGTCGGTGACAAATCGATCGAAATGTCTTCCGTTCCGTAAAATAATCTTTCGCGCGTCTCGCCTTCTTTCGACTGTCACGAAAAAATAAATTGAAATAAAATAAATAAAAAATTAAATTAAATTAAATTAAATTAAACCGTTAAACCTTTTAGTGTGACTCATTAGAATTTAGATTGTTGCAGCGATATCTTGTTCAATTTTGCAAAACACCAATTTATTCGTCCTTCCCTCATTCCCCCAGACAAGCCAGAGCTCGCAAAATCTCGCGGCTCTAACGAACCGTTCAAGATCGCGCATTTCGTTTAACCGAGGCGCGTTTAAAAAAGAAGCGCGATGCGATACGTATATAATTCGAACCTCCCCCCCCCCCCCCTCCCTCCCCGATAATTTTATGCAATTATGCGTGTGCTAACTCCCTTCGCCCATTCTCTCGCACAGACGTGGCGCGGACGCGGGCGGGATTTAGGGGCGGATTTCAGCGGCAGTCTGTCCTCCGCCCTCTTCCCTCTCGCTTCACGGCGATGCGAACGCGCGTTAATTCCCATTCGTTGCGCGTTTACATTATTATTAAAGCCCGCTTACACGGCTCGCTGCGTCGACGCCGCCGCCGTAGAATTTTAATCCGCGCGAGTCTGCGCCGCGATGCCGAAAAATGCGACGATTAATCTTACGGCGGCCGCTTTGACGCACCTGATTCCCACTCTCCCTCCGCCCCCCCTCCCCCTCCACGCTTCATATCGGTTAATTTAAAACATGTTCCACATTCGACGTATCAAAAGGTGTTGTTTAAACGACTGTCCGAAACAGAGAACCTTGAATGCGAAGTAATTACTTGCATATAAAAAATAATTACTATAAAACACACATATATGCATTCAGTTTTAATTATAAATTGAATCGTGCAATTCCTGACGTCACGTGATCGAAGGCGATCGAAGGGACCGCCTAAAGCTAACTAGTTCGAAAGATTCTTATTTCTATTATGTACATGGCAAATTGTCACGTTTGCGGATGCCCGAGTGAATCATACGTGAGTCAATACGACCGTTACATGAAAATTACATTGATTATGTAAATTAATTATTGAAACTTATACGGAATTTCACGTTAATTATTAACGAATTTATGTAAATGTGATTTTGTGCACAATGCTCGTTTCAAATAATTATTTGATAACTCTATGATATTCTATTTTTCCCTCATGCGTTATGCATCACTTTATAATATATTCGTTATCTAATCTACACGAGCAATTATTAATACGTGATTGTAAAACATTTCGCGTTTTTAATCGTATCGTTGACAGTTCGGGGGGAATTATCCCTGACAAAATATGGGCGATTGATTTTACGCGCGAATCATCGTCGAATAAGAGATCGAAGAAGAGACTCGAGGAATAATATAATTAATACAACATGGATGAAACACTCGAGCAATTACGCAACAAATTGCAGCAGACTGCGCGTACGCGATAAACAACGTTTCTACATAGCGCGGGACGTGCGTTATTTGTAAAATAAAATAGCTAATTCAGAATGCGCTAATTAATTATGCTTGAAACAACGAGACTGCAGCGTCGCTCGCGTGCGCATTTTCGTAGTATGCAAAATCGCAAATAACTCGATCGGTGAATTTATTAATTCGATTAATTGAATGTACCGTTTCCGAGTCGATGATAGCCTCTCTTTCTCCCTCTCCCCCCCCCCTCCTCTCTCTCTTTCTCTCGCTCTCGCGTTTACGCGCTAATGCGTTATTATCACGAACACAATTCGCCGTAAATTATCTCGTCGAAAATTATCTTTACCGGAGAATAGTCGTTGCATTTTCGCCGGTAATCGTTATCGCGAAGGATAACTACAACTAGTCCGTTTCTAAATCAACCGTGCGAATCAAAAGGACAAATCTCATTCCGATTTAATGCATATAAAGCGATTTAAGAAAACAAACAAAAAGGTAGTTTTTTGTGTAAACAATATTTAACTTACGCACGCATAGTTCTTCGTAAAAAAGATTATCATTCTGACAAATGAATAACGAGCAAAATTAAAGGATTAAAAAATCAATCCAATAAAATTTGTTGGCATCCTCGTGAAGAATCCATCCCGGCCGATCGGATTCCGCCTTCCCTTTCTGAACAAATAAAAAGTTTGCTCGGTCGTTGGCACTTGGAGAGCTTCCTAAGTCCGCGTCTTAGTCTGCTTTAAGAGGCTCGCAAGCCCTGCACGCAGGTCGGCGACCTGAGCTTAATACGTACACTTATCACGCTGCAATGATCTTGTTAGCAACTTTTGTTCATCGGCGTCTGGAGGCGGCAAGGACGAAAGGGACGGGGGAGCCTTCGAGACGGCTTAGAGACGGTTAAACGCGCTTTATTGGCTTTAGAAGCCTCGGAAAAGCTCACCTCGTTCCAGAGCAATGCAAACTTCAGTTCTCGAGAGCAAGAACTATTTTTATTTGTGCTATATTTCGAAATGAATTGAGCACAAATTCCAGCTAAAATTCAATCAGTTGTCCAACGAAATAGTTTAGAAAATATTTCTTATCTTTAAAGAAAGTATTTTTTCCAAGGAAAGAATATTCGGATATTTTCAAAAAAGCCGACGAAATGTTTTTTTCAACTTAATCATGTAATTTGGTTAAAAATTGAGAAAAACTTTTTTCTCCAATCTTGTGATAAATTGTAGAAGTGCCGACATATTATTGTTTCATTTACTGTTATCGCTATCCTCTCCGTTTTTCTTTCGAGTTTCACAATAAATTTTATTTCAGGTTCTCTAATTGAAATTGATTCTGCTTCAAGTTTCTTACTTACCCACATCTTTCGAACCGCCCCATGTTCCCAACTGTGCTTGACGGGCTAATCGGGACAAAGCGTCGACATAAACTCGCGACGCCGCCGCAGCTCCTGAAAAAAATAGCTATTGTTAATTCATCGTCAATTTAATCGTATTTCATCGTAAATTTATCCATTAACTTATATTAATATCTCTCTATAAATTCATCAATTACAGCCAATTATTCGCCAATATGAAAATGCTAATAAATTTCTTTTTTAGTAAAATTAAATCCCACTAGTTTGTAAACATATTAATAAAGAAAATTTAATTTCTTTACTTCAAATTATTATTTAGAGCTGAATTAAAACGATTATTTGGATTCTCCATAAGCATTATTTTCAAAAATCTATAACTTTTAATATTTTTCGTAATCTTTTTGTATGAAATAACAAAAATAATCGATATAAAATATCTATTCTTTATATCTATTTCTTTTTCTAATTTAAACAATAATTTTAAAAATAATTGGAATTTTCTTCAAAAATTGAAACTGTTTAGTTTCCAAATAATATTTTAATATAGTTGTAACATTGACTAAATTTTTCAAATAAGAATTCGAGTATTTTGTATATCATAATATCGAGTATTTTGTATGTCAATAAGACAAACTCGATACGAGCAAATTGGTATTTCCAGAAGGCTCAACTAAAGGGAAATTGGAAAACATGTTCACGCGTTTCTTCTGCTGTATTCGATACGAGAGACGGGCGAGATTCACTCTCTGAACGAGCGATCGCACCGATATAATAAAAAGGCCAAATGAGCCCCATTCGCGGTTATCAATGAAAAACGATCCCCCTTCACGTCGGCTCTCGTTAGAGGTTATGGGGCAGAAAAATTGGGACGACCCGGGAAAGAAGTGTCGGGAAAGGCGAGCGGTGATACAGCGAGGACGGTTGAAAGGGGTCGGTGGTATATCGGTGGAAATTGTGTGTTCCACCCCCGCGGGCAAATCCGTCATAAATAGTGAGCTTGTGCGCTACCTAACGGACTTGAAAGACGAAAAAAAGAGAAGAGGGATGGGGAGAGAAGTGGGAAGAGACGGCTGGTCGGACAAGGAACCGTACGTGCTATCTCGGAAGAAACGGACTCGTAGGGTCGTTTTATGGGCCGCACCTTTCTTCCGCAATCATTCCCCTTCATCCCCCTTCCTTTCTTTCCCTCCCGAGAAATCGAGCTGTGCTCGAAACGCGTTTGTTGTTTCATTAAAGCCTAGCAAGAATTCTACCGATTCCCAGAGCGCAAACGAAGCTTACGACGTGTCTGCGAGAGAAGAAGGGTCCCTTGAAATTCGACCAAACATCTATGAAAATGCATTTAAATTCTCAAAACATAATTTCTCTGTTGATTGCATTAAAATTTAAATTCTCCCTAAAATTTAAATTCTCCCGTATTACAAAGGTTCAGTTTTATTTATAGCGTTTTATTTATAATTTTACTTGATACTTTTGTATTTTTGATACTCGAATTTGTAATTGTTTTCAAAAATTCAGAGAACATCTAACGAAACAACTTTGACCTTTGGAAAAAGGTTAATAACGTCGCAATTTAATTTTCGTTTCGGCGAGAACGCCTGTCATCCTCAATTAAAGTTTCTAAAACGGAAAATTCCAGCCCCTTTCGCTACGAAACGTTAAGTTTCCTCTCAGCGGTAGATCGCAAATACAAGAGACGGCAGAGGATGAGGGCACGGAGAGTGAATTTATGCTTCATTCGTACACGTTAGGTATACACGAGGAAGAAACGAGTGGAGCGTAAATTATGGCACTCTTGAAGCTCGCTCTACCTCCATCCACTCCCTTGTCGGGAGTGGCCCCTCCCTCCCTCCCTCCCTCCCTCCTGCCTATCTCAAGCATAGCGCTCGTTTCCGAAGAGCAGCTTTTATTTATTATTTCATGCTACTGAACACGCCATTCTTTTTAGTACGAGGAATTTTATTTAAAAATTATATCATACAAGACCTTTTTCTTTTTTTGCCACACTTTTTCCAGCTAGGAAAGTTGGAAAAGGAAAGTTGGAAGGCTAACTTGTTCGACGTATAATATTCTCTTTATCACCGCAATAATTGGGACTTGTAGCTTTAATTAAATTCTACGTGGAACGTTAAAGAAAATCCGAAAATTCAAGACTACATATTTTTCCATAATTTGAAATTGACATTCCCTTGGATGTAGTTCAAAGTTTCCGAATTAGGGACAACTGAAATTAAAATTTCATGATTTAAATTTTATACAAACATAAAAAAAAATAAAAATAATACCACATGATTCTCTTTATTATTCATAATTATATACGTTACGTATTTATCACTCATATACGTATTATCATGTTGTATTTATCATGATTACCTCTGTAAAAAAAAAACGTCAGGACAGGATGATAATAACCGGAGTCTGTCCGGTTCACGATTTCGCCTGGCAATAATTTCGCCGCGAGGGCTGTGCTTCATATCCGAGTTTTACGATACAGAATTTTGCGACGACATCGAAACTCACACGTCGACAGCTGTCGCCGCCATTTTTCGCGTATGTTTCGTTGCAGCCTCGAGCGAGGCATACGTGAACCAAAAAAAGGAAGAGCAAAAAAGAGAAAAATACGATTTCCCTTGTACCTGTTTCTTCTTTTCTATTTTTTTATCACAGGACAAAGTCTGCGAGGAAATTTAACTACACCGGAGATTTAACTGCAGTTTCCCACATTGTCAATTTGAATTATCGTTAATTATTTTCATTATTCCATTTCTCTCTAACATGTCGCGAATAAATCCTCGCGTAGAAAAACAATATTTCTTCCGTAAAATTCCTATGGAATTTTTTTATCTGTTTCTTATTAAAATTTGTAAATGATCTTTTCTGTCTCTGTCAATTCTTTCATTTATATCATATTTAAATGTACTAATTTAAATATGCAAAAGATGTAAAAATACAAAAACGTCCGTCACGTTGCGAATTTTCACAGTTAAATAAATATTATATTTCTATAATTATTCAAAAGCTTACATTTTCATAATTAGTAATATTTTATTGAATAATATTTTGTCGCTATTTTGTATGTACATTCGCGTACAAGTTATTTTTTGCAAGAAATCCTGCATATTTCCTATGCAAATATTCCGCGAGTTTCACCCCAAGCACTCCAAGTAGCGTGTTATTAAAATGCCGAATATCGAACATCGCAAAACACGCGGTGTAATCGTAAGCAGAAATATCCAGTGTTTCGCACCCTCTTGTCATTGGGGAATGCGTAAACCGTTTGGTACATAACCGAGTGACGGTGGTGGGGTCAATGGTGGAAATGCTGACTCGCCCACCCTCTTGTTTGCGGCTGTTCGGGCAATCCCCGAGCGACTCCGGGGATTGGAAGCAGGCCGAGTTCGTCATCGTCGACGCACCCCATTGTCCGCCGGTCATCCCTCGTCTTCCCCCAGCTGTCGGCAAACTTCGGACTGTCCTGTATCAACCCTTCACCGCAACGTTCCTCATCCAACCCGTCTCAGAGACATCTCGATATCGATGTACACACACACACACACACACACACACACACACACACACACACACACACACACACACACACACACACACACACACACACACACACACACACACACACACACACACACACACACACACACACACACATCTCAAGTTATATCAAGTTTGAAGGAAGGTCCCTACTTGCTTTCGCCGGAGAATTCAAGACGCCATGCTATACTGTTCATATCTTCAGTATTGGATATTCGGAATCTTGGACATTCGTCGTTCTGAGAGAAGAAAATTGTAGAAAGAAATATTGAATATTCGTGACTTTAAACATTTCAAAATGTAGCATTCTCAATCAGACAATAAGAATTAGATTGTCAAAAATACGACTCTTCGAATTCTTCGAGAAGATAATTCATTCGATCATTTTCGAAGAAATCAATTTCCTTAGTTTAAAAATTTAATTTCATCTCTAACGTTATAATTTTGTTTTTATAGTTGTAAAAAAAAAATCAATCAGATACGTCAGAACTTGCGAAGTTACTCTAAATTATTTTCCGAAATTATTTTCCAACGAGGCGAATGGAAGCAATTCCGAAATGCTTAACGCGTAATTAAGGAGCTGCTTTGAAGGACGGCTTCTTAGCCCGGTACATCGTTTATCAGCGCTTGCGAGCTTGCTTAGAAGGGACAGAGATAATAAATGAACGGCGAGAGTTTCTAAGCGGCTTAATTGCTTATGAGGGTGTTTACCAGGGCCCTTAGACTGCCTTCGCTAAACGCAACAGGCGCGAGTGAGCACCACCAAGATTTCGCGCGGTATTAATGTAGATTAATGGAAAACTTCGTTGCCGTTTTGGCTGCAGCTTCTCCTATTTCTTCGCCAACAGTTCCCACAAGCTATCGACGGTTATTAATGGACCCCCTGACTTTCGCGTTTACTCGGCTCTTTTCTACCGAGATCTCCACTTTAACTTTTTACTCATTACAAACTTGAGGGAACTTTGATTCCTATCCTTTTTACTTATTTTTATACGGGGGAGATATAATTTTTAAGAAGGATGTAAACTCACGAATTTCATCATCGATTTCACTCAGAAAAAACTTTTATAGCTTCTTAATGAAAAATAATAAAAAATTATAATAAAAAATTTGAGAAAATTCAAATAAGAGGTTTCGTCTTAACTAAACATTTTTAAGGATTAAAAAATTGTGTTATTATTCTCAATGCGCTTTGCTTAGAAATGTCGAAGACAAAGAAACTGTTTACTTTCTCGAAAGAATTAAATAAAATAAACTATTTTTTTATTAAAGATTCAATAGATTAAATAGTGCAAAGAATAAACAATGTATAAACGTAAATAAATATTGTAAAATAATATATAGGCATCAATAATATAATAAATGTACGATACAATAAATAAATGTCTTATTACGTTCATCCACTTCTTCATCCCTTGTTTTTCTCAAATTCGCCATTCGCACTCTCTTAGGACGGACGAGAGCCCTTAGTAAGCGGCGTAAATGTCCTTTCACCCTCGCCACTTTCACGATATCCTGAGGGGTAGTTTTAATATGAGTCTTAC